GCTGCTGTTGTTCCTCGTCCTTTTCCTCCCGCCCATCCTCCTGCTCACCCGCCTCCTCTTCTTCCTCCTCCTCCTCTTCCTTCTCCTCCTCCCGTGCACGCAACTTAACTAGTTCCGATCGGGCATAACACGAAGTGATCTTTCTGTGGGAGTCGCAGCTCGGTCTGACTCGCATCGGCGGATGGAGAAAAACTAGCGCCACACGGGAAGGGATGAGATGGAGGGATAGGATGTCAGACGAGGCGCGAGTGCACCTAGCTTGACCTCTCCCCCTCCCCTTCCCCCTCCCCCCCCCCCGTTTCCATCCTTCCGCGCGACCTTCTTCGAGTGCATGTACGCAAGGCCCTGCAGCGCCTGCTTCACCACGCCCGCCACCCACTCCTCATAGAAGAAAGAGATCTGTGCACATACACCGATTCTGGCCAGGTCCATCCTGAGCCTTGGATCGGTGCATACGCCCTCTTACCTTGGCTAGGAAGGCATCTGCACCGATCCTGGGTCAAGGACGGACGCTGTCAGGATTGGTGCATGTGCACAGTTCTCTTCGCCCGATCTAGGGGAACGAAAAGTGGCATAAACATAAAAACTCGGAGGTCCGCGCGGATTTCTCGGATCGGCGTTGGACCCCCCTGCCTGGCGCGCGGAGCGCGCCAGGGGCGGCGCCGGAGGCGCCGCCAGGGGGCCCCAGCGCCGATCCGAGAAATCCGCGCGGACCTCCGAGTTTGTATGTTTATGCCACTTTTCGTTCCCCTAGATCGGGCGAAGAGAACTGTGCACATGCACCAATCCTGACAGCGTCCGTCCTTGACCCAGGATCGGTGCAGATGCCTTCCTGGCCAGGGTCAGAGAGCGTATGCCCTGATCCGGGTCAAGGATGCACGTTGTCGGGATCGGCGCATGTGCACAGCTCTCTGCGCCCGATCCTCGGTCAGCGCCTGGGCGCCGCCTGCCTCGATCAGCCTCTTCGCGTACCGGAAGAGGTCGCCCCCCGGAGCCAGCTCCGTCACGAGCCAGGCCACGGCGTGCCACCTCGCGGCGACCACCTCCTATGGCCCCGCGGCGAACTCGCCATGTGGTGAGGGTGCCGGGAGGAGGAGGAGGAGGGCGAGCAGGAGGAGGCAGAGGAAGAGTGGAGGAGTACGAGTAGGAGGAGGAGGAGGAAGAAAAAGAGGAGCAGGAAAAGGACGAGGCAGAGGACGAGGAGGGAGAGGAGGAGGAGGTGGAGAAGGAGGAGGAGGAGGAGGAGGAGAAGGAGGAGGAGGAGGCGGAGGAAGGGGGAGAGGCATGAGGAGAGGGCGGAGGACGACGGGGATGAAGACGGGCAGAAGAGAGGAGGGGGAGGGGGAGGAGGAGGAGCAGCCAGACACAGCCGAGACATCCTTTCGGGCCAAACCTTGAACGCCAAACCTTGCACAAACGCTGGGCCAGCCTCGAGTTTACAGGATGCGCGGGGGGTTAAGAACCCCGATCAGCTTTGTGGAAACTGCCGAAGCAACGCCAGGCCGAAGCGAAGAGCGGAGGCTTCCGCATGATCGGCACGTCTGTGGGTCCCCCCCCAATTGCAGAAAACAATCGGAACGCTCAGCTCTCGCATATTTGGGCAGTCTCCTGTTGCCTCTTCAGGGTACGCTTGACTGCCCTGGGTGGTGGCTCCGGCGCCACCCCTCCAGATCACGTCGCGCCCGGAAGGCCTCTGGAGATCCCTGGAGGTGCTCGGAGATCTCCCAAGACGGAAGCGGGTTGAAGGCAGACCCGGCTCAAGAGAGAAGTCGCCAGGAACCTCCCAGAGCTGGCGCCGCGGCCATATCGCAGCGCTCCGGAACGCTCTGGAGCGATGTGTCTTCGTGCCAGGCCTGCCTGATCGCCACAGGCCTCCGCAGGCCCTGGAGGTCTGGTCTGGTCGTTCCCGGAGGGCCGCGGAGCAGCCAGTGAACTTCGCGGTGCCCGCGGGTGGCCTTTGCAGGCTGCCCGTGGTCCTGGCCCTGCACGAGCTCCACGACCCTCAGGCAGTTCGGGTGCTGGAGCTCCCGGAGGCGGTTGAACTCGTTCAGGGACTCGTGCTCCGGCATCTCCTCTCCACGGCGCGCCAAGTTACCGTCCCTGCACGGTTTCCCCCGAGACCGTAGGCGACCCGAGGAGGAGGAGGAGGAGGAGGAGGAGGAGGAGGAGGAGGAGGAGGAGGAGGAGGAGGAGGAGGAGGAGGAGGAGGGGGAGGAGGAGGAGGAGGAGGAGGAGGGGAGGAGAAGGAGGAGGAGGAGGAGGAGGAGGAGGAGGCGGAAGGAGGAGGAGAGGGGGGGAGGAGGAGGGCAGGAGGAGAAGGAGGAGCGAGGGGGAGGGAGGGAGCAGGAGGAGGAGCGAGGGAGGAGGAGGAGGAGGAGGAGGAGGAGGAGGAGGAGGAAGAGGAGGGAGGAGGGAGGAGGGAGGAGGGAGGAGGGAGGAGGGAGGAGGGAGGAGGATCAGCGGGATCAGTGCGGCCTCGGTCGCAAATCGACACGCCGAATGGAAGCCGACACGCACCGCTGATGCGCGCGTCGGGCATAGCAAACCCAGAGGGCGTGCTATGCGCTCAACCAGCCCTTGGGAAAGGGGAGGAGCAAAAGCTAAAAGAGGAACCCAAAGCCGGATTGTGCGATCCATGGGGCACGTCTTACATGGCGCCTCCTCATCGCCTCGGCTCGGTTCGCTCGAATTCGCTCGCGTTGGGACTCGCTGAGGAGGGGGGGAGGGGGCGGGAGAGGCGAGGGAGGCGGGGCAGGGGGAACAAAGGGAGAGGCGAGCCCAACGGAGCCTACGTACAGGTCCTCTTGGGTGGGGTCCTCGGGGGGGTCCAACCTGGGGGCCAGGCTGCCTGGCGGCTGGCTGGGGCCAGGGGGGGTACACTGTGACCCCGAGAACGCCAGGACCAGAGGGCGCCTGAAGCGCTCCCTCTCGGGATCAGGTCGAGAGCTCCTAGGCCCAGCCCGAAAATCCGGCGCCCAAGCAGCTCCCTCCTCAGGAATGGACCCGACGAAAAAGTCCCGAAGACCCTCCACCTCAGGACAACCCGGCTCGGTCTGGGACCCGGCCCCAGGTTCCACGGCCGAAAAATCCACAACCGTCTGAACAATCGACTCGGCGAGGGCCCTGCAAAGGCCGGGGGGGTAGACCTTCTTGGCCGCCGTTTTAAACTCCCCCCCCGTCTCTGCTTTACCCAGGAGCACTGAGTGCGCTCCACGTCCATGCGAGCAACGCCCCTGGCCGGGCGTCGCCCTCAGGCGTCGGTGCAGGCCGCTCACCCTCACGCCGACGATCCTCGTCGGTGCCCTGCCAGCCTTGCCGCCGTGCTCGCACTGGTCGAAGTCCGTGGTGCTGACGACTGGGCACGACTGGAGTGCCAAGAGTGGCTCCCATGTCCAGCTCGTCACTGCCTCGCGGCGCCAGTGCGCCGGGATGGGGTGCTCCATCCACGCCGCGCTGCCTGCTGCCAGGTGGTCCGCCATCAGCTTCACCATGGCCTGGAGCAGCGCGTTGCCGACCGCCAGCTGCAGCCTCTGCTTGGGGGTGGCGTGCGGCACCCCCCAGTACTCGTCGTGGGTCCTCAGTGGCGGCGGCCCTGGCATGTCCGACCACCTCGCCGCACTCCACGTTTCACATGGCGGGCCGCCGCCTGTGAGGATCACCTGGTGGGATCGGATGGCGTCGCCGAAGGTGCGGAGGTTACTCGACTTCATCAGGTCGCACCTCTCCGCATCGATGGCGACGTCAATGCTGAGCACCACGATCTGAATCGTCGTGCTGATCTGCTCGTAGCTGATGCTCGCTTCGAGGCAGTCTTGGATGTCGTCTGTCCTGCGGACCCCGCAGAAGAGGTTGAGGACAAAGACCTCCCTTCGCCGCGGCCTCCAGGGCAGCTGCTCCGTCGCGATGCCCTCGTACTTGCCCGTCGGAAACTGGTCCAACGTGTAGCGCTCGAAGGGCATGTCCTCCTCCTCGGCTGCTGGCGAGGCGGCCCCTTCACGAGCAAGGAGTACATTCACCGCCTTCTCATCCAGCGCGTAGTCAGATCTGATCAGCGTGGCCGCCATGTGCTTCGCCTCCATGTAGTGACCCTCCTTCAGCAGGTCCTCCCACTGCAGGCGTGGGTTGTGTGGTCCTGCTGCTCGCTGCGCCGGCACGTTGACGCGCTTGCGGAAGCCCCCCTTCGGGAGCGGGGCCGCCCCTTGCACGGCCTCGCCTCTCAGGTCCACGGGCACGCAAGCCATGGTGATCTGCAGCAGGCAGCCGGGCGAGCCATGGGCCGCGTGCTCGATCAGGTGGTGCTCGCCCTCGAACTGCATCAGGCAGGTCGGGCACTGTGTTGCCCCTTGCAGCCACCTGCGCGCCAGGTCCTGCATCCTCCAGTGCTCCCTGGAGATGTGCACTCGTAGGCCCCTTAGCTTCTTGAAGCCACTGGCACACCAAGGGCAGCTCCACCCCGACACTGCTGCGCTTTGGGAAGGTCCCTCTGCGCGTGCTGGTGCTGGTCCATCATGTGCTGGCGGTCCGAATGGGCTCCCTGGCCGTGCTGAGTATGGCACTCCTGCTGGCCACACCGTCTTGAAGAAGTGCTGGGCCGCCTCCTGCGCCTGGGTCCTCCTGGCAAGCTCCTCCGCCGCTGCCTTCAGCGCGTCGTTGAGCCTGTGCTTCCAGGTGGTGTGGGAGCTGCGGATCTTCCTCTCCCAGGGCCTGATATCCAACGCAGGGTGCGGCAGGTCATCGTAGGCGTGGGAGAACTGTCTGAGCCACTGCAGGTCGTCCAGTAGAAGAGCTGGCCAGGATCGACGCCTGGCTGGCGCTGGGGTCATCAGCAGCCCTGCCATGAGGGCGAAAGCCACTGGGGGGCCTGATTGGAGCAGCTCCCCATACAGGCGGAGGCGGGCGACCTTCAGGAGGTCTGCTGGCCTTGACCTGCCTGCTCGGAGGAGGACGTGGTCGTCCGCGGCGTCGGGCGTTTTCTCGAGCTCGCCGCCCTCCTCCTCGTCAGTCCGTCTGACGGGCGAGCTGGACGTGGCCACCCTGTAGACTGACATGATCATACCGTGGAAATACTTGCTCTCCGCGACTGTGAGGCCCAACCAGCTGCCCATGGAGTAGGCCCTGGATCCAAGGATGAGGGAATCCGCGAACTCTATCTTGGCCGCCCTCGGGACCCCTGGCTCTCTGCAGACCTTACGTCTGAGTTGGCACAACTGCTTGCTAGTGGTCTGTGCCCTGCGGTAGAGCTCCGGGTACATGGCGCCGTGGTCATCGATCACCGTGCCAAGCTGGACGTGGGAGTTGACCAGTCTGACGGACGGGTCCTCGAAGTACTTGGAGACAAGGGCGAGCCTGCCCTGGCGGACGTGCCACGCGTCGTGCTTGGCAGCCTTAGAGCCCCTCCCCGCGAACATGAAGAGTGCCTCCGACTTGCCTGGGTCCAGGTTGAGCCGCAGGCCATACTCGGCGTAGGCGTCCAGTATGATGCCGCCCGCTATGGCCAGGGCCTCTGCAGCACCGCTGGCCTCGCCGAGGTAGAAGAAGCTGCCGTCATCCGCGAAGGCGACGCTGTGAGACGGGAGCTCCTGCCACTCGTCCTCGCTGTCGAGCTGGTCGGCGAGGGACCTGGAGTCTGTACCCATGATCCAGACGCCTAGCCCTACAGCATGGAGTCGCTGTTCGATGAGCTCGGTGATCTCCCCCATCGCTATCTCGTAGATCTGGTCCGCCAGGGGCTGGCCTGGGATGGACGACTTGGTGCCCAGGGCGACGTGGTCGGAGCCTTCGCACACAAACCAGGAGGCCCTGTACTGCTCGGAGATCAGCGCTCGGAGGTGCCCACACACACCCTTTCTCTCCAGGATGGGGGGGCCTCCAATCGTCTGCCTGAGGAGTCTGCGCGCGCCCTCGGGCACACCCGTGGACTTCGAGATGGCGTCGAGGCCGGGCTCGCTCGTGGTGGTGTGCAGGACAAGCTCCCTCACAAGCGAGTAGAACGCATCCTTGGCATCTAGGAAGAAGGCGGCATACGTGATCGACTTGGCCATTGCCGTGGCCTGGAGGAGCCGTAGGAGTATGAGCGCATGTTGTGTGCCCCGTCGCTGGATGCCGCCAAACTGCCTGGGGCCTACCAGTCTGGGCATGTGCGGCGACAGCCGCTCACGGATGCAGTGTCGGGCCCGCTTGCCGATGGTCGCGGTGACGGCGAAGCACCTGTGGTTGGCGCACTCCTCGATGGCCCTCTTCTTGTGGTGGTGGCGGTAGTAGCCCCCCTTCCACTGCACCGGCTCTACGCCCATGATGGAGAACTTGGTGAGTAGCGGCATGTAGGCCCTGGCGAGCGGCTTCGCAAACTCCTTGCAGAAGCGACCCTGGAAGCCATCGACCCCCGCCGCTGTGTCCTTGGCCACGTGGAGGGCCCTCTCCAGCTCCGTGAGCGAGGGGATGCAGGCCAGCTCGAGGACGTGGTTCTGCGGAAGCTCCTCAAAGAAGCCTTCGAACATCGCAACCTCCGAGATCGGCACATCTGCCGCACACTCGACCAAGGCAAAGTGCTGGACCCACCGATCTCCTGCTTCATGGACGTCCTGTGCCATGCTGCCGTCCAACTTGCGGACCATGGGCAGGGTGGACTGCATGCGCTTCTTCTCCGAGCCGATCCCCATGCCTCGCAGCCTGGCGTAGGCGCGCTTGGACTGCCTGTTGCTCCATGCGTCCCCGATGTCGGCTGCGATCCTCGCGTAGTGCATGTTGGCGTCATCCTTGAGCGAGCTCTGAACTGCGCGCAGGGAGACTCGCCAGGCCCACTCACGTAGAGCCGCTGCTTTCTGCAGCAGCCTCGTAGTCATGCTGAAGAGGTCGGGCAGGAGCTCCGTCCAGGATGACACGGCATCGTTCAGCAGGTTCATGGTGAACTGGGTCGGCCTCAATACCATCGGCTCGAGGAAAAGGTGGCCGTCTGGGCGCACCCTGGCCGGCTGAAGGGAGCACGTCCTTCTATGCTGGATCCTGGCATCTGGGCGCGAATCCGGTATCCGTGGCGACGTGAAGCCAGCCCTCGGTTCGAGGAGCACCGGGG